CATACACGTCAGTGAAACTCCGCGGACTGCCGCGAATTTATGGCACGCGGCCTCGGCAACGTACGCGTCGCGGGGTATGCGCGCCGCGCCGCGCCGCGCCCGCGCACGAGATTTATCGGCGCTTGGCCGAGTTTCGGTAAGGTAAGTTGAGTGAATTGTAAATGTTTCCGGGCAGAACTTCACCAAGATGGCGTCCCTCCGCCACCGGGGGCGAGTTTGTTTACGCCTCATGACTCCCCACGTGGGAAAGGCAGCATGGCGCGCGTCACGGCGCGCCTCAAACGCACAAATCGCCTCGGCCTGAACGGAACGCGCGGGCCTTGGCCGCTGCCGCGCCGCTCTCTGCCCATCTGTCGGGAGATTCAACGAAATGGCGTGCCGCACGCCTTCGGCCCATCTTCGACCTTACTCGACGGAGGTGAGGATAGATAGATTTCAACTTCCCCGGCGATAGGAATTCGCTAAAGCGCGCTAATACGGAGGAACTTTCTTTCACTTTTACCCATGTGATTTTTCATTCAATTTAACTTTTAAAACGATATAATAAAAATACAATTTATACATGCGCATATTAATGACAAAATATAATAATCTATAATAAAAAGAAAAAATTAATCAGATATTCTGATATATGTAAGTCGAATTAGCAAACATCTCACACGTTCGCATCTCTAAAAAAAAAGTCTCACTTCTAACTCATGTATTTTATGCTTCACGTTTCACCTCCTGCATACTAAAATTACTCAAGCAATTGACGTTACACGAGCGACGTATGTCTACAACAAAATAGCACTTTATTCAATTTTTACTCTTTTTTTTTATAAAGATGACGCTAACATGAAAAATATTATAACTGCTAGCATGCCCAGATATTTTTCAGTTTTATTAAGAGAAGCTTTTTTTATAAAATGCTTTTGCAGAGAGAGTGGTGAAGAATGTACATTGTACTATAAATTATTTAGTACACTCCCTCCTGCGAAAAATGTGTATTTTATATCGTCTATATATTAATGATACTAAATTATCCTCCAAGAGAAGTTATGTTCGCATAAAAATTCTTTATATAACTTTAACTTTTCTTTTATTGCGTGTTTCGTAACTTATTTTTCAACCTTTTAATGAACGTGATTGCATAATCGATCAAATGCGTACAAAAAATTTAATTCATTCAATTCTCTTAACAGACAGTAATATTAAAAATTTAATTTATATTTAATTATAGCTTTGTAACTGATATATAAACAGAAAATTGAAGAAACATAATAAAAAAAATATATTAATAAAAATAAAAACATATTTGACTAATAATTTCTTTCAAATAGTAGTTTTATTTAAAACTATTTATAATTTATAAGTCTTATTAACAGTTAGTAGGACTTAGAATATAATTTAAATATTTTTCCTGAAAATACCTCTCTCTCTCTCTCTCTCTCTTTTTCTCTCTCTGCTTGCTTTCTTTTATTTCTTCTTTTTTTCCCCTCTTTTCTTCTCTTCTTTTTTTCGATATCTATTTATTTATAGAAAAATTTCTATATTTAATACGATCAAAATACGATTTTTCTATATTGATCGTTAAGCATTGTGTATACATAGAATATTTATTTTAAAATTGTACAATTTTCTTGCACGTAATATTCGTAATTTTCTCGCACGTAATATTCGTATGTAGAGTAAAAAAAGTTACCCAATTAATTTGTCAATAATCTATTGTAAAATATCCTAAAAATAGTCTCTTTACTAACTCATGTATTTTATGCGTCACGTTTCACCTCCTACATTTAATTAAATTGCTAAAATTACTCAAGCAATTGACGTCGCACGAGCGACATTTGTCTACAACAAAATAGCGCTTTTCGATTTTAATTTATCGCTGTCAACGATATATTTTTTACCAGTAAAACTGAAGGAAATTTTTACCGGTAAAATTTTCCTTAAAAAAAAAATTTTTTTTCAAAAGTGTCGAAACGCCCGAAGCTTTCCGCGCGTTGAGCGCGCTAGAATGATCACCTCGGCTCAATAACATACATTTTCTATTTCTTTAATCATCACGTTAAAAGTTCTCTTGCACGATAATGTCCACCGTGCACGACAGCGGCGTAACTTAGGAACTCCGGCGGCGAGATACGCGTGAACGCTAAACTGGTAGTAAAAGACATTCTACGACTTTATGGAAGTTCCCTTACGATCGCCTAGGCATTTTCTTCGTTTTTAATTAATCCATAAACACGCGCGCTGCAGAAATGCGATAAATCGTCGGGGCTGTGTGCGCATCGAGAATTTTATTCCGACGTGACGGCGCGGCGCCCAGTGAACGGGATGACGATCATCGGACAACACGGTTCAATCCGCGCCCGCCGTCTCGCATCGCTTGAATTTTCGTTACGCGTCAAACATTCTCATGAGCCACGGCGGCGCGGAGGAGGAAGTAGGTAATTAGTCACGTCGGGAGAAAATAAACGCGGATAATCCAGGCGCGTGGAATTCCCCGCGATTACTCCCGAAATCACGCCGCATTCCACGTGGTATTCCACGTGGCTCCGCGCGTTCGCTCAACGAATCAGCGACGGTGGAACGCCGGCTTCTCGATCGAACTCCGTCACACGTGAATTGCCGTATCTTCCTCGCGCGGGAAGAATTTCGTGAAAATCGAGTGCAGATGAAAATTCAAATGATCAGATGAGTTTCTTAATTAGTAAAAAAAATCAGCGACAATTGATGCTGCAATTTCTCGACTTGGAAAATTCGGAGGAAAAAAAACTATGCGTTTCGTTTCATCGCTTTCCGATCGGCTCGATCGGCGAACTTCCTACGCCTTCCACCGTCGCCGTTTAAAAATCTTGGCTCTGTTTCGATTCAACTCACATTTCATGCGTTGCGGTGCGTGCTGTTTCCTTCGGGGCATCTGCGTCCTTCGGGAGTGCTCGATTATCCGTGCGGCCTCCAGTTCTCTTCGCCTTTCAACTGCGATCGGTTGGTCCCCAAAAAGTCAAGCGGTCGGGAGCACCAAAAGAGAGAGAGAGAGAAAGAGAGTATCCTTCGAATATCCCCGGGATAACGGCCACCTGGGGGGTAAGTCTTGCCTCCTCTTCCGATTTTCACACACTTGAAGTCACCCAACCGGCACGTGTCCCGACGACCACTACCTCATCGTGATCGCCGACGACCCGCTCGTCGTCAGTGACGCGATCCTCGCGATCGCCGTCATTCTATGGAGGGCTTAATCGCGGACACCTGTGCGTACGTAGATATGTTCACACGGAACCGATCGCGAGGCGACAACACACCTGTCAAATTTCCGGAGCACGCGATCGGAAACGTTGAAGTTCCAAGGATATCTCTTCTACTTTCTTTCTCTCACTTCTTCACAGAATCATCTGTACTCGCGTCGCCATTTCGAAGCCGATCGACGTTGATGATACTCGCGTCGGCGGCTGAATTAATTGATATTGTTGGTAAATCGTCACTGCATTCTCTCTCCACCGGTCGCACTCGAATCGCGGGTAATTTCCGATCTCGCGATACTGGACCGATTTTACTCCGTATTCGTGCACCAACCCCTGGTTCACCACTTTACTCTGCAAGCAATCAGTGTCACTCGTCACTTTCCCGATCGGTCGTCGTATTCATACCGGTACGCGACGCTCGTCTCGGACGACCGCTATCGGGATCGTGCTAAGAGATATTTCACGGATAAATCGTAGGAGGGGGAGGGAAGAATCCCGATACAACGCGCGGATAATCTCTCTACGACGCGTGATTCGCGACGACACGTCGCATCCACTCGCGACGCGCGCGCGACGCTCCGCGTATGCAAGTGTCGAAAGATCTCAAAGAAAAAGTAGAAAGAAAAGGATAATCAGATAACTATGAAACAAGCAAAAGAGAACACGTGTAGATTAAAGAGAATGAAAACGCGGCAGCAGAGAGCGGGCGAGTGAAAAGAGAAGAAAGATACGCGCGTGGGAGAGTAAGAGAGAGAAAAAAAGAGGGAGAGAAAGAAAGAGAGAGAGCGCGAAAGATCCGGAACGCGGTAGACGGAAAAGAAGCGGGGAGGAGATGGAGGTGGTGGCTACCGTCGTTCGTGGATCGCGAAATCGAGCGGGCGGCGGTCCAACGCTGACTGACTACGGACTGGCGTCGCGGCGGCAGGCCGTGTAGTGGGGGGGACCCCAGGAGTAGTAGTAGTCCTCTTTCCCTCCTCCAACGCCCGTTCTCGTTTCCTCGCTCGCCCGCTCTTCCTTGCTGGCCTCACTCGCGCCCGCTCGACCTCTCCTTCCCGCCTTCCGTCGCCCTCGTTCTTTCTCTCCTCCGCGACCGCGATCGCGTCCGCGGCCCGCGAACGAGGCGGCCGGCGCGGCGAGGCCGCGAGGAGGCGGGGAAGGGACGCGGGAAGGGATCGGCGGAGAGACATCCGCTGGACGAAGTGTACGTACCGAGTGAATGAGCGAGGCCGTGGAGGGGGAGGAGGGAGCGTGCGTCTTGTCCTCCGCGTCGCGTTCTCTCGGCTTTACCCATACACGCGCGTCGCGACGCAAGTCGACGGTGGCGCGGTGCGACGTGACGCGAGGGGGTCCCGGCCGCGCCAGCGACGGCGCAAAAGCCAGCCACTCTCGTCTGCGAATGCACCAGACGCTGGCGGATGCGCTGCCCGCTGCAACGTGGCCGCGACGTGGCACCCACGCGTCCCCTGTCGCAGCCAATGCCGCGATTCTTCTCGTTCCCGCTTTTTCGCGAGCTATCATCCGGACCGCGAGATTTTCGGACAGAGCTGTGCGAGGTACTGAATGAAAAAAGGAACCAACCTGGATCGGGAGGGCCCGTCGACGGATCTATGGGACTATAAGCATACTCGCGCGCACGGGGGAGGTCGGAAAAGGAGGCGGGGTCCTCGACTATGTCGCTCCACGAGGATGGTGCACGAGGAGGGGGAGCGCGTCTCTGTGTAGCCGTGGACGCCGTGGTGATTCTGTTGGCAGCCGCGAGCGGCGCTGTTGCACAACGAACTACGGTACTACGGCGACGCGGAGCCACACCTAGGAGTTTCTCGAGATTTTCACGAGGAAAACCGTGTAGGAGGCTATTGCTGGTCGAGGTGAGTACTCGATCGGCATTATTGATTAGCGAATTAAGAGTGCAATTCGTAGTTAGGTCGACAAGCAAAGCTAGCGAGCGTATTACTGAATATTCCGAAATCTAACCTCAAAACGCACAGTAGCTATACAAAGCTGTAAAGTTTGTTATGTTAAAGATTCTGTACGTCATGACTGCTTTTTTCTTGTTAGATTAGTAGCAATGTTCATGTGTGTTTCATAATATGTTGCTTAATAAATATATTTGTAGTATGCAGAAATATATAATGATGTTAATTTAATTGAAAATTGTTGAGATTGTTAGTGGAAATTGTTTAATAGAAAATTAGACATTAATTGCAAAGCTGTTTCTCCTATCTAAATACAAAACATACATTAGAAAGTAATGCTATATTAAAGTTGCATAAAACTTTAACTGCATTCAGCAGTTTAAAAGTTTTGCCTAACGTTTCATTTTTATTAAAATACATTTGTTTTTACTTATAAAGCGTTGCATTTATTAAATATTTTTTAATATGCTGAAAAATCGTATTTGTTTAGTTAATATCGGAAGTTAGTGAACAGTTAACATATGTTGAAAAATTTGAAAAATGTTTTCATTATATTAAATCTGATTTGTATTTCCTCAAATAGGTATAATAAAAATAGTGTCCGATATGATACATTATCTTTCGGCTTACTTAGATTCGAGTTGCTATTAAATGTCTGCGATCTCTTTTATATTAACTATAACATTTTTAGGACCAGTATTGTTTATACAAATAATTTTTACAAAAATTTCATATTTATAATTTTATTCACTCGACTATCACTCAAAACAATTTAAATATAACGTAGAAAATGTTATATCAGCATTGATAAATTATAAAATTTATCACTATAAAAACCACATAATAAGATGCAATTATTCTCAATGTCTTCTGACAAAAGATATATGTTAAATGGGTATAATTCCTTGAGAAACTTTATTCGTCGTTTCTGAACAATTACTGTCATAGCTTTCTTCACTCAATGATTCGTTGCTCCCTCCAAGTCTTTCTGAATCTCATTCGGAAAAAAATTCCTCAAAAATATTGTTTTAAAAAAATTCAGCGATCCGTACTGTCTCAATTTGAGAGCTCGTTTTGGCGGGCACCAGTGGAGGCGCTGGCAACACCGGCGATGTTGCGGGGTGAACCTGGGTGAACCGTACCAACTGGTGGGCAGTCTCCGCCTACCAGGCGGAGCCCGCATGATCTATAGCGTCATAGAACACCCTTGCCGTCGTGGTAGGAACCGAACGGCGACGCCCACAGTGCGGAACGTGCGCGCTGCACCCCCGCCGCCGTCGCCGTCGCCGCCGCCACCACCGTGGACCGCGGATGTTTATGCTCCTGCCGCCGTGTCTCTATCTAGTCGTGGTCCTGGCACTGCGCTGTTTCTTTCCTGTCGTCGTCGTCGTCGTCGTCGTCGTCGTCGTCGTCGTCGTTGACGGCACTACTGCTACCGTCGGCATACACTCCCCGGCTTATCCTTCGCTCCTTCCATCCGGCACGCGTTCATTACCGCTAAACATTTCTGTCAATTAAAAGTGCACCGACGCCCAATTTATCGGTCGTCTGTCGTTCCGGGCGAGCTTGCGCCGCGGATCGGATATTAACGAGGCTAGCTTCGGATTTTTTTCTTCTTTTTTTTCCATCTTTGTTCCTGCTTTTCTCTGCTTTTTTTTTGTTTTCTGGCGCACTTCCTGCTGGATTCGCAAGGGTATAGCCGTACTTATGGGCTTTTCGTTAGCGCGCATGCAGATGTACCTTGGTTTATGATTATGGCGCCTGGCTCTCATTTTCACGGAGACAGAAGCGTTCCAAAGGGAGGCAACATTTTTCCGCAATGCAATGCGAGTTTTTTTTTCGGAGCACGTATCGGTGGATATGTTCGACAGGAACGACAGGTATAATATAGACATTTTGTGTGCAATAAAAATGTACATGACATGGATAATTTTCAGCCATTATTATTTATAAACTTGATTTTATCTCTATACAATCATAATTATGATTTATGCGTTATATATACATATATGAATTGTATTATATCATGCATGATCTAAAAAAACCCCTGAACTGAAGGTAACTAATTGAATATATGAAAATTAACATGTTTTTTTTGTTTTACATCATACAATTTCTACTATCATAAATAAAAAAAGGAAAATATTTTATGATGAAATTAACATGCGGACTATTTAAATATCCATATTAATAATTTTACAATATAATTTTCTTTATTCTACGGATTACTAAATATTAGATATATTAACTTTATAATAGAGTTATTTAATTTTTATATATTTTTATTTAAAAAAGGTTAAAAATAATTTGAATGAAGATATTTTTTTTATAGAAAACCTCCTTGTTTCTCATCTTATTTATACAACTTTGTATAATTTGTCAACTTATGTTAAACTTATCTTCTAATTGCACTTGCTAATTTTTTTTAACTTTTTTTATATTTACTGTCGATAAAGATTTGCATCTGAGCTTTTGCGAAATTACAAGGAAAAATATAAAAACTATTATAAGACGCACATTTTATTTGAGCAACAATCGCGTTGTTTTCGGAGAACAGATTACGTCGTTTTTGTTACGCATTAAATTTGACGCCGGCGATTTGATCATCGTTCAATCATGCGATTCAAATTGTTTATTTATAGATAACTTATTGGATAATTTTAACCGCAATCTGAATTCGTAGTTTTTTTTAGAAATGCCACATTTATATATTGAAATATTTGTCAAAATTTACGAGATAAACAAAGCAGTAGTCAGAGGTAATAAATAGAGATATATCAAATAAATATTTTAAAAAAACTTTCATTTCTTCATTTACGGCGGCTTAACAAAGCCAACATGTCAATTAATAAACAATCGAGCTGAATTGATCGTTATTCAAGTTTAATATATATCGTTCAGCATATTTTCGAATATTTCAATATCTAATAAAATGCAAATTAAATATTTGTAAAATAAATTCCGTTAGAAAAAATGATTTTATGTTTTTTTGCTTGCATTAGTATTTTCTAGCATAATTCGTAAAAAAATCTAACTTTTTAATATATTGTTAACTTTGTCACGCCATCGACGAATCTGAAAACAAATACAATTTCTCAGTTTGATTTTTAATATACGCACATCAAAAGCAACGGCCAGCTTATAAGACACATTCGTAAAAATATTGCGAGCATATGTGAATTGCTTATACATATGTGTGAGCGTTGCGATGTAAGATTCATTCGCGATACCGCATTCGCGATATTTGGCTCAAAGAGGTGAAAGGCTAGCCGAGTGTGCCGACAACAACGTCCGCTTGCCGAAGAAAGTACGTATCTCGCAGTCACCTTAGATTCATGAAATAAATTCTTCAATAAATCATTAACTTGTATGTTTGACGGCTCTCATAACTTTGCGATAACTTTCCTCTGTGCGAAAGGTTCCGTCCAGGCTAATATTTCTTCCGACGTCTTACCAACGGTAAACTTTATCCAACCAGTGCAACTCGGAGCGTTGTATACACGGTCAGTACGGGTCGGAAAACGATATGGGCCGCGTTCCCCAAGGAAAACAGCTAATGTCACGATTATGCGTTTCATTTCTTTTAAAATACTGCTGTTGCCTCGTTAAAAACGGAATTAATCATTAATATTGAAGGATCAGCGGGACCGCCACAGACACACAAGCACAATTTTTGAGTAACATATAAATTAAACGAAATATTCCGTAGCCTATAATTTGACCAAATATATGTAAACAATTTTCCAACGACGAAAAAAAATAAACTTTTCTTTACGATTATGCAACACCGTGACGGAGCGGCATGAAAAACGATCTCATGTATGCGTAACGCAATAGACGCGTCTGCGTCTCCTACCGTTGACTGCGGGGGTTCCTTTTACGAGCGCTGCCGATGTCGGTAGACGCACCCGGAGGCACTAAACTCGCGAATATTTCGAAAGGCAGCCCGTTATGCAATGACAATGTGGGTCAGCGCACAAGCCCGTCGCGCATTAGATTCATGTGTGCGCCCGCCTGTGTACGTGCTGTGTGTTTGTGTGTGCGCGTGTGTGTCTACTTGCCGGCACAGGCAGACCCCTGCGGGGCCGAAATAAGTGCACCTCGTAAAATAAAGTCCCCTCTCTCTTAGAGCTATCCTCTGCTGTATCCGCGGTGGCAGCGCCGATCTTACAGTATCGCGACAATCCTCCTAGATCTCGATTCCCCGTGCGCGTCGAAATCCACGTGGGCGCGCGAGCGTGTGTTTGCTGTCAGTCCGAGCCGTCAATCTGTCAGATAACAATAGGGGATATCGATAATCCTGATGTAACGCCATGTCGGTGCGATACCTGGACGGAGCAGCATTCGGTTTTACTATGTTTTATTATTGACGACACTTTATTCTGTCAATCCATTCAATCTTACGCGCTTTGTAATTCTACTGGAGACTTATTACGGTTTGTCGCAGAGCACTTTACTGTTTCTTTCGATGATCTACGCTATACGGAAATTTTTCAGAAACATAGACGCAATAAGTGCGATAAAATAATCTATTTAATTTAATATTATGTATACGGAAAGGACGGTTTTTTTCCTGAAGTACTTAAAAAACTTAGATACATATTTGAAAATAATTTTGTTGAATTATCAAAAATAATCATGTAGGATGTTGCGGGTTACTAAAATAAACATCAAAACTTTTTACAGCATTGCTCACCATGCTTGAGTTTTCTATATAATTATTTCGATGGTTTATTAAAATTATTTTCGTAAATAAAAAAAAATATATACATATATTATACATTATATATATATATATTATATAATTTATATCTATATATTTATATTTGTATATAAAAATAAAAATTTTACAGCGGCAATAGGAATGTAAAGTCGAGGTACAGGATTGCATGTACGCAAAGTCCGCATCCCTTATTGCGATATATTTATGCCAACGCTACGGAATTTTTACA